CCCACGTGTACGGCGGCATTGGTACCCCGTCGAAACTTGGCTCCAAAAGACAAGAACGGATTTAGTGACCCTGTAAGATTTCACGATTTCCCCACTTTTTAAACACTTACCATGGAAAGAGGGCTAAACCACGGACCACTCTAGTACCTTGTTCTCTCTTTAGGGGATTATCGATTCCAAACCGAGGCAATTCAGAAAACACTCAATCCGACATGGAATGACACCTTTGAAATGCCCCTTAGTGGTGTCAGCACCTCGACGGTCGAGTGTGTATGCTGGGATAAGGACATAATCGGAAAGGTAAACCGCCATGTGACTACCCGCTTCCGGGGTGATTAAATGTTGACGCGTTTCCGCAAAACTAGGACTATATGGGAGAATTTGGGGCCACACTGGAGGACATATTCTTGAATGGAGAGGTCAACCCAGAGGTCCGCAATTGCTCCATCCGCCATGGTAAAACCAGCTCTAATGTTTCGTCAATTACAGCCCCGCTGGTTCCCGTTAAAATCCAGCCGCAAGAAGGCTCAGATTTCTGGTGAGATACAGCTACAGTTTTCCTTGTCCGATAGCTCGAATGAAGCTGCTCCGCCCGAAGAAATTGCGGCAAAATGGCAGGCATGGCAAGGCAACTTCGTGACAACTCCGAATCCCAGTGGGGATGACCAGGACCCCCTTTCTCAGGATCTTGGAGATGAGCTCCCATCGGAAGACGATGACGAGGTTGGTGATACGGAGAGCATAATGGCAGGGAAGAAGACAAAGAAGGGAAAAAAGAAGGATAAGAGGATTAAGAAAGGCGGTCACTACGAGCTCTTTAACGGAACTGATGTTGTCGGTGTCATTTTTCTGGAAATAAATTCCATCACAGATTTGCCCCCAGAAAGAAACAGTCAGTTGGCCCAACTTCCCACCAAAGATATTAATTCTGACCGATGTAGTGACACGGACTGGGTTTGACATGGATCCGTTTGTTGTTGTCTCTCTCGGAAAATCGACCTTCCGTACTCGACATATCCGGCATTCACTGAATCCCGTATTTGACGAGAAAATGGTGTTCCAAGTTCTTCGACAAGAGCAGAATTATAGCTTGAACTTCGCCGTTGTGGATCGGGATAAGTTTTCATCAAACGATTTTGTAGCCCAAACCAACTTTGCACTTAAGGAGATCATTGAAACTCAGCCATCAGCAAACCCAGAAACCGGATTGTACAATCTGCGGGAACCGCTCAAGGACGAGAACTCATTAAGCCCAGTCTCTCCTGGGCTGAAGCCGGGCAATGGAGGCAAGCCACGATTCCGCCTCCCCCTGCCTAGGTCTACATCAGGTACCAGTCTGTCCGCTAGGGGCAATGGCCGAGTTGAGCTTAGTCGTAAGGGTTCCTCTACCTCTCTGAAAAGTACGCTTGATACCCTGCCCCCAGGAGAGGAGACAGCTACATCGCCATCTGGGAATAAGATCATGCCTGTAAATGATATAACTGAGTATGATCTAAAGCAATTTAAACTGTCGCTCCCATTGAAGAACAAGGATAGATGGGAAGACAAACATAACCCTGAGCTCTTCATTAAGGCCAAATATGTTCCGTATCCCGCCTTGAGGCAGCAATTTTGGAGGGTTATGCTACGTCAGTATGATGCCGATGATAGTGGTATGATCAGCCGCGTTGAGCTTACAACTATGCTTGATACGCTCGGGTCAACTCTATCGGCTCATACCATTGATAGCTACTTTGAGAGATTTAGAAATCAAAATGGGTACGACAGCTTGGAAAACACTGAGTTAACAGTAGACCAAGCAGTTATCTGTCTTGAGGATCAGCTTTCATCATCGACACCAAAGACACCATCGCATCTTACACCGCCCCTACGCCAACTGCCGATCCCTGGATTGAAGGATCGCGACAATGAGCGAGACGATGCATCACAGAAGTCATTGGATACAAGCACTGGCTCAGACACTCCTGACCCCCGCAGCAGTTCTGTATCTTTGCCCAAGATACAAACCCAGCCTGTTCTTGGTCCTGCGGGTGAGGAGGGGCTATTACTTGGGGACAATGACCTTGTGGATGAGAAGGCGGAGGAGCATGTGATCCAGCTGAAGGAATGCCCTCTATGTCACCAGCCAAGGCTCCACAAGCGCTCGGAGGTTGATATCGTCACACATCTGGCGACGTGTGCATCGCAAGATTGGCGACAGGTTGACAAACTTGTGATGGGAGGGTTTGTCACATCAAGCCAAGCTCAGCGCAAGTGGTACTCTAAGGTTTGTATAGGGCCCCATGGTTTCCCAATGGCATAGGACTAAGATTCTGCAGGTTATATCAAAAATTTCATACGGAGGTTACAAACTAGGCGCCAATTCGGCCAACATTCTTGTCCAAGACAGAATAACTGGGCAGATCCAGGAAGAGCGCATGAGCGTCTATGTCCGGCTTGGCATTAGACTGCTCTACAAGGGTCTTAGTAGCAGCAGTATGGAAAACAAAAAGAGTATGAGAACCCCAGATCCTAACTTCGTGCGTAAAGGAGGGGATACTAATTCATCAATTTTTCAGTCAAAAAATTGCTCTGTTCCCTTAGCGTTAAACAAGGAAAGAAGTTTGACAACCCAGCCTCCGCCCGCGACATCAAAGGCTTTATCGCTTTCCATCAACTGGATTTGTCCGAGGTTCTACTACCACTCGATCAGTTCAAGACGTGAGACCCTTTCCCTGTGTGTCCTGCCTTTTTTATATTGACATGTGATAGATTCAATGAATTCTTTTATCGAGCCCTAAAGCCTGGTGCCCGCCCGTGCTCAGCACCAGACAACCCGAAAGTCATTGTTTCACCTGCAGATTGCCGGAGCGTTGTGTTTAACAAGATCGATGATGCAACCAAGATATGGATCAAGGGTCGGGAGTTCACAATTGCAAGGCTGCTCGGGAATGCATATCCGGAGGATGTTAAACGATATGACAAGGGGGCTTTGGGAATTTTCAGACTCGCACCTCAAGATTACCATAGGTTCCATCATCCGGTTGATGGTCTCATGGGAGAACCTAAACTTATCAAAGGGGAATATTACACCGTCAACCCTATGGCTATTCGTTCAGCGTAGGTGGTCCCAAACCTAACCCCATCGGGAGATTAATTAACCTTAATTCTTAGTTTGGACGTTTATGGAGAAAACGTCCGCATATGTGTTCCCGTCGATTCCCCAGAATTTGGTAGGGTCATGATCATCTGTGTTGGGGCTATGATGGTTGGAAGCACGGTTATCACAGCAAAGGCGGGACAGCAAGTCAAACGAACTGACGAATTAGGATATTTCCAATTTGGTAAATATCGCTCAGGCCCCCCGAAATCAGAAATGCGACTAACAAATTCGATAGGCGGAAGTACCATTGTCCTATTATTTGAGTCTGGGAGGATGGTTTTCGATGATGATTTAGTCGATAACTCGAACACGGCCCTCGAGACACTAATCCGCGTTGGGATGTCCATCGGGCATTGCCCAGGCACGGCCACAGTCTCCGAGAGGAAAGAGAACGTTACGAAGGAAGATATGATGGAAGCTAGAAGACGTATCGAAGGCAGCTTAGCGCCACCTGCCTATTAGGTATGTGGTCTGTTGCCGTAACTGAACGACGCTTATGAACACGGCTTCTGTTGCATACTGCCAAAATTCAGCTCTTTTGCTCGATCTTAGTGCTATGCAATAGTGGTCGTGTTCACAAACCCCGTTCAATTACGAGCATGCAATTCCACGATCGGACAAGCCATTCTGATTTACATTTAGACCAAAATAAAGTGATGCCCTGTGAATGGGTAAAAATTATGTTGGTGTTTGATTGACTAGAGGCGTATTTACTGGACGAGTGCTGGAATTGCTATTGTTTCCTTTTTCCTTTTTTGGTTTGGATGTACCGTATCCAAGTAGGAACCGCATCATATCAGTTTGGTGATGGGAACATTCAACATGATTCAAGGGTTGCATGTGAGACACACGAGTGAATGGCAGTGCTTACCTCTAGCAATGATTTGTTTTTTGTTTTTCTTTTTTTTCGCTTTTAGCATTGTGGAGGTATCATACAGGGGAGAAAGCAAAGCCCTCAAGGCTACATATGTATTAATATCAAGACTCAATTCCGATCACCTCGGTGCATTCACATGACGCCAACTTCCCAATACCATATGGTATGACGAGGGGCAAGGCCTCGGGGTAATAAGATCGAGGCAAGCTAATGTCGATAACATGTGTCTCTACTTTCTTACCAGGCTTCGCGCAGAACCATCATGTTCGAACGGGTCCAAAACATCATCACCCCAACTCTCTACCCTCCCCCGATCTGCTCATTACCATTATTGCCATTACTTCTACTACTCTTCGGAACCTAACCCAACCCAACCCGATCGCCCTTATTACTGGCCTGTCGTACCAAGGAAAATCGAAGCACCGTGTATGTTCACGATAGGATCAGGAGCCAAATCAATGCACGGTACTCCAGCGCAAAACAATCTGAAGGAAGGGACTACTCGAGTATCATAGCAGGGCCAGTTACGTCCTGCGAAATAGGATACTGTAGTTGTAATCGCAGCCAGTCTCCGGGGTTGTTATAAGCCATGAATTGGACCTCGTCTTTTTCTTCTTTTCCCCTCCTTGATTATGATATCAGATAACCGGGTGTCTGTCTGCCAATTTCTGGGAACTTGGAAGCCAAGAACCGAACCACCGTTTCGATAACCCCTTGGTAGTCGGGGCAAGGCAGATGGATAGGTTGGCAGGCCGGGGATATTGAAATCGAACAGGATAGAATAGAAATAGAGTGGTGTTTCTTTCTTCTCTTTTTTTTTCTTTTGATCCTTTCTTTAGCCTTCTCTTCATTCGACCATTTATCCCTGAGAGGAGAGTCGCGATGTGATGTGAGGCCTTTCTGGTTTAGTTTCAGGTACTATGTCTGTATGTATCATACGTATACTCGTGCTCCCTTTCCTCCCCTCCCCTCCCCCTCCTTCCCTCCTTCCCTCCCTTTCCTCTTTATCACCACATTAAAGGTGGGAGGAGTATTCAATCATCCATTGGTTGGAAATTGGAATGGTGAGGTGGAGGAAGGATGTCTCTCTCTTTATCCCAATGAGCGAGACTCCCCAGATCCCGTGGGATTCGAGCACCATACCAACTAACATACATAATTCTCGGCCTACCTCTCTATCTCCGTTGGTTTGTCCGTACGTCCGTCCCACTCATTTGTCGAACGAACGATCATCACGATCCTATATCGATCAAATCCCTATAACAAACACGGCTTATTTCCCGCTGCGCAAGCACACTCTCATCCATTTGTAGGAGGAACCATGGCTGTTGTGCTATGCTGTGTACAGTACCATCTGCATCTACTTATTCCTAAGAGACCAGCCAGTAAGTCAGTCGGGTCTTTTCCCAGATTTAAATTTACAATATCCCCTCCAGCCTCCTCGGCATTTCCATCTGAATATTACTATTTGTTATATCCCCCACCAATAAACATCTTGAGCGACTTTCTGTGCTCCTCTCCTCTCCTTGGGGGGGTCTAAAAAAGGGAAAAAGCCACAATAAGTTTTGGAGTATACAGCACTCGAGCAGAGTGGAGGGGGAAAGGAAAAGAAAAAAGTGGGTCTATAAAAAAAAAGTAAAAAAAACAACGAAAGGAATGGCAGCAGTTCAAGCGGGAGATGAGTGGCCTATAGGGGACCGGCCTGTACCTCCCATCACGGAATGATCCAATCCAAATATGACTTTTCTCCATTCCCTCTTCCTTTCTTTTATGATACTTGTCGGAGTTCCAGCTCGTTCTTGGGTGTTGCTGCTGCTTTGGCATGTCTGTCGAATACCACACCTCATGCTCGATCCACAGAATCGAATTGCGATGGGAATAAGCAAAAATAAAAATAGGAAAAATAAAAAAAGAGGCCACGAGAAAAGAACACATCTTTTAGCTCAGTGTAATGAGTTATGGGACTGTAACTGTTCCTCAAACGATTTGGGCTTCGCCTCGGCTTTTTCTTTTTCCTTTCAAATAGTTTTGTGGCGGTCGTTTTCTGTCATACGGTATCAGGTGGCAGGTATTCGAGTAACCTTCCATTGCCGCACCTTACTTGCCTCACTTCACCTTACCCTATCTCCCCTCCGTGCGCGCCTCCCCCCCTCTCCACTCTGTGCCAGTGGGGGAGTAGAGGGCGCTATCTGGTGCCGAGCAGATCCTCTTCCTCCCTTACCGCCGAAGAAAGCTCACCAAAATCCAGAGTGGTGTATCGAGTGACACACCATGCGCCAAGCCATTAGCCACTCAAGCAGCGAGGAACGGGTTCCCGCCAAGCCACGGAAAACGCCAAACCACTGCATGTCCGTCAGTCAACAATGCCTGCCGTACACACCCATACAGTGCGTGCCCCCATCGCAACACCAAAATAGTATGAATCAAAACAAGGAGCAACGCGACAACCCACACAACACAGCTACTGCAACTACCTACCCCCCCGCCAACATCGACAACCGCCATCGCAACGCGAGCCTCATCGTCATTTTTTCCCTTCTTGTTCATTGTTCCTAGGAAGGAAGGAAGGAAGGAAGGAAGGAAGGAAGGAAGGCAGGGGATCTAGTGTGCCGCCTGTCATCCCCGCGCTCGCGCTCTACCTCGCCCGCCCGCTGCCCGGACAGAACGTGGATCTGCACTGCATTACACTGCACCTCCGGTGCCTTATCGATCAATCGATTCCGAGGTTCGACATTTACGAAACTACCGATTGTCGCTTTCTTCCGGCCCGATAAATTTAATTCAGCAATTCGTTTATTCGCTGCTTGCTTCGAGCGGGAAAGGGAGGGATAGGAAGGGGGCGACGTAGACTGACCCGGGTATCCTTTCTTCTTTTCTTTTTCTTCTTTCTTTCTAAAGAGGAGGGACTTTTCGCGGGGAATCAGCTGTATGCCCATTTACGCTCAGCGGCCACTGCGGACTTTGATGATGCCGGCGAGCAGCTCGCGACCGAAGCGGAAGAGTAGGGGTGATGCGTATCTAGAGGATAATGGAATCGGAATGGGAGGAGGGAATGGCAGGAAGGAGAAGGAGAATAGTGCGCCGGCAGTGAAAAAGCGACGCGAAGAGGATAAGCAGAGTTCAAAGTCTACTGCTACTGCTGTAACGACAGCGACGAGTGCATCCATGACGGGGAGTACTGCTACTGCTACAAAACCAAAAGTGGGTTCTCTTCTTTTTTTATGTACAATTCATTCATTGTTCTATAGTCTCCTTTGGCAATCGGCGGAGGGAGGAGAAGGGGAATTGCAGCTACTAGGAGCCGTTGTGATTTATTCCTTTGTTTTTAGGACTGATTGGGAGAGGGCGGAATTGTTATCGCGAGTGTGGGCTGATTGCACTTTACAGAAAAAAAAAAAGACAGCTGCGACTGAGATGAGGTTAGATGATGGGTTTGCTTATCGCGTGCGCACAACACGATCGAGCACAGCGGCGGCAGCAGCAGCGGCGCAGGAGTCAATTCAGAGCATAGCTTCCTCATCACATGACACTGCACCAATAGCTCCTCCTCCAGATCCTCCGCGTCAGCGTGTAAAGAAAAAGCGCGTGATGGTATCGCCTCCACCCGAGGAGGCGGGATCCAAGCCAAAGGTCGCAAAAGCCAACAAAGGCAAGACAATTCCACTTAGTCAGAACGGTACAAGGGAAGTGGAGGAGGAGGTGGGGAAGGAGGAGGAGCAGGAGGGGCAGGAGCAGGAGGAGGAGGACAAGAAGAAGGAGAAAGGGGCAGCTCCCAAGGCATCCGGGGCATCAAAAGAAAAAAAGGCTGCACCTGGGGAAAGACGGCCCAAAATTACAGCGTCCTCGACACCTCGGTTACAAAAATCGCAAATTCCGACCGCGGTTGGTGGAGGCCATGGCCCTAGTGATGGGACGAAAGTAGTACTGCCCGTATCCGATACCCCAATAATACGGAGGAACCAGCAACTGCGGCAGAAAGGACAAGGTAATCGGCGGAGTAGCGTTGGAATGCGAGGAAGGAGAGCAAGCTCTTTAATGGACAACGGGGTAGTTGGTATGACAGCAAGGATAATCTTTCCAAGTTTGGCTGTTTGATCTGACGTATTTGCTGGAAATAATAGCGGAGCCGCATGCTGAGGTGGAAACTGAAGAGTTCTACAAACACATCGCGGATGAATTATTGGAGCCCCAGCGAATGAAGCAACTACTGTCATGGTGCGGTAAAAGGGCGTTAAGTCACCAGACCTCACCAGCCGCTGCCGGAGTAGACGGGAATGCCCGAGCTGTAGGTAAGAGTGGAAACTTTCTTTCTTTTTCACAGGGCTAGATATGCACGATTTGGCGCTCGAGCACTTCATGAGACTAGCTTGAATGCTGACATATTTCTAAAGCACGGATAATCGAGGAGGAGGTCTTGAAAGACCTTTTATCGAACGCCGAGCTATCGAGCTGGTTCAATAGGGTGAGTCTGCATCTGCGCATATAATCCCGGTTTGTGGGAAAATCGATCGATAAGCTGACAATTGAGGATTCCGTCATAGGACGATTCCCAGGCCCCTCCTGAGGTGAAAAAACCGAATCCCCGCAATTTGGATAATCTCGCCAAGGTGGAAGAATGCGAAGCCAATCTCAAAAAGTAAGTGTGGAGTTGCCATCTTTGGGTTTTTTTATTTTTTTTTATTTTTTTTATTTGTGAGGGGGGTGGTCTCGATATTCATTTTTTCCGTTTACCTTGAGCCCTACCATGCGGTGTCATCATTTTCTCCCATTTGGGAACTGGGTTGACTGACTCGGTGTGGTTGTTATTGCTCCCTGCAGACTCCGTGAAGAGAGGGAGACGTGGGGTTCGCTTCTCCGACCGGAGACACAGTCGACGCTATCGATCTCCGGGGGTAAGTCGGAGGTGGGGCTTTTCGAGAAGTCACTGCTAAGGCCAGAGGAGTCGGAGTTTGCAAACTCGCTTGCGAAATCGCAGGATTTACTGGGATTAGCGAAACGGCTAGTCAAGCAGCAGTGTGGTGAGATCGAGTTCCAGGTCGATCAGCTAATCGATGGGATCCACAAACTCAATCAGTACGGTGAAGCGGCGGATCGGTTGGGTGGGCGAATCTTGGAAGACGCTGAGTCAACGTTAGCGGTCAGGGAAGCAACGCTGCGGCAAGCTTCCGGCACAGAGGCACTTCCAATACAGGAAGTCCTCAGATCTCTCTCCCGGATGGATCGGTAAATGATGATGCAAGTACGGTACAGTAAATGGGATTGAAAGGGTTGGAAGGGAGAGAGATAGAGTAGGCTGAGGTTTAATTGACTTTTTTTCTTTTTCTTTTTCCTTTTTCTTTCTTTTTCCCCCTTCTAAGAGTGGAGTGAAATGTCATATCATATCATACATGGTTGTTATGTGGAGAAAGAGAAGGGGGGGGAAGGTGAAGTTTTGCGTCTGCGTGATTGGGGAGAGAGGGGGTAGCGGGAGTAAGGAAAGGTTGGGCAAAAAGCGGTCATGGTGGTAGATGCATGCGTTTCTCTCCTTCGGAGCGGGGGCGAGGTAAGGTAAGATGGGTAAGGCAGATGCACTGTACAGAGTATGGACGGCACCAAAGGAATGGCTGTGCGATAGCGTGTTGTTAGAAAGAAGGAAGTGGTGTTGTCGAGGATTATTTTGCGGCGTTCTGGTCGTTTTTTTTTGTTTGGAAGGTTTTCTTTTCTTTCTATCGTTAGCATAGCAGCCTGCTTTTTCTTTCTTTTTCTCAATCTATTTTTTCTCATCTCTTCCTCTTTTTGCCTGTTCAGCAACTTTACGATTTCATCGCTACAAGTATGATATCAAACATTCCCCCCTTCCCCCCTTCTCCCCCCCTCCCTCCCTCACCCACTTACAGTTACAACCTCGAATTAAACTCTATCCAATTCGAAATATGCAATAAATAGCTCTCCCATCATCACCGCCGTCATCCCCACCACCATGGTCATAAAGCGCTATGGGCAGAGGAGGGTAGAGATCGCCCGATTGGGGGTGGGGGGGAAGGAAGGTTCGGGTTCACACTTGCTGCCACCTACCTGTGCGCTGTGCGCCTGCCTGGCTGCCTGGCCGCCTGCCAACCCAACCCAACCAAACATGCTCGAGTACGGTAGCACGGGTACAAGTACGAGTATCATGGTAAAACTCTCAAGTGCATAAGAGAATTGATTACTATCCCCTTTTTCGGTCTTTGTGCAACAGTTTTATATTTGGTGGCCTGACTCGGGAGCGCCCCTTCACACCATGACGATGATGATACTTGCCGTACTTGTACTCACGGAAACCTCGAAATCTAGACCGCTTTCTTGGTAACGGTTTGTGCTGCTCGTACGAGTTTACTCGTATGGTACCGTGTCACAGTAAGCTTAAAGGTTGTTTTTGTTGATGGTGATGGATCGAGGATCCTTACCCTACCTAGAAAGGAAGGGAAGAAAGGGAAGATCATCACATGGATCCCTCCATTCGCGGAAGCGGAAAGTACTGTACTGTAACAAGTGTCATTCTTGTACGAGTACAAATCTGCCCGGGTTGGCTGGCTGGCTTGAGCATGGCGGCGGGCGGGAAGGGGAGGGAGATGAATTGCCGATAATTTAAAAGAGTGCTCGAGTTAGATGCGCTCGTGGTGGTGGTGGTAGTGTACTAGTATGTGATGGGTAGGTGCGGCGGTGAAAAGGGTAACACTCCGATAGGATTCGTTTCTCTCTCTTTCTCTGGATATGGATTTTCCTTTTTAGCACTTTGCGGTGATGGATGGGTGGAACGGACCCATCAACAACTAGGTCAGTTATATATACAACTGTTAATGGCACTGGTTGGTTTCCTGCCCCTCTTTCCGTCCTGCTTATATCGTATAAATGGGGATTCGATTTTATTTTAAACTCCAACAGGTACCCAGACTCCCCTCTCTCGTTCCCACCCGACACTTTGATTCATGGATTGATTGGAAAAGAGGAAAGGGCTGTAGTATCATAGCTTACCCAAGCCCGAGCAAGCCACCTACAGCAGGACAAAAGGTGGTGGCGGCGGTGGGGTGATTTTCGAATTTCATTTTTTCTTTTCCTCTCTGGACCGCTACGTCGGGAGAAATCGCAAGTATGATAACCTGTAAGGGAGATAGACGGTTATCATAAGGTGAAACATTCTTTTTCATCAATGATACGATATCTAAAAATCTTCTGCACCATATCTTGGAATAGAGTAGTCTACGGTATCCTGCGTTAAGCAGGTGGAAGGGTGTGTAGTGCAAGTGCTGCTCTCACCCAACTCGTTGAGATATTAGGATGGATGTATGACATGATTTTTTTTATTTTACATCTTGAGTGAAGCGAAATTGTCAATTCCCCCGCCTTTGTATGATGGTATTCTCAATGGGTAGACTTCCTTCCACTTCTGCTTTGTGATATAGTTCCCGGTTTTTGGCACGGGTATGATAATTGGGATAAAATGCTTGTGATGTATATGATATATAATATGATGAGATGCCAATACCAGAAAGGTTAGGGTTGTCCCCTAATAACGGTTGATGAAGCAAGAAAGATCATGACTAAGCAATAGAGAGAATGCGCAGACTAAAGTACGAGGACAAATGGTTTCGTCCGTAAAGATTCGAATAAACGGACGATGTGCTAGGATGTCGGAGTCGCCTTTCTTAGTAGGGTACCCCTTGGGCGGTCTGAAATAGTATAATTCGTAGCCAGGCACACAATGTCTATTATAAGAAACACTAGACCTTAAAAGGATTAGCTAAGGAGCAATGCAACAATATCATCCATCAGATATGAATTTTGAAGTTAAATGATCGTGAAGTACCTACAATGTTGAGATTTGCCCAAACATGACAGCCCCTCTCAGATCTTTCTTTTAATTACTCTATATCCAGAAAAGCCAAAGCTCCAAAAGTCTACTCTCCAATGTTTCCAAAACCACAAAGCTTGATACCAGAGACTCAAGCCACCCAGAAGCTGTATGTCACTTCATCCTCATTATGATCACCTCAGTCAAGCATTATTACTATTAGAAAACTCAGAGGAAGATCTGCTAAGACTATTCAACTTAAGGAAAGATAGTGTGTGTAACGATTCCTCCTTGGATAGTTAGTTCTTGGTAATGGGGAACGATACTTCTCTTCTTCTGTTTCTTTCCTTAGTCTTACGATAGCACTAGGCCTCTGCCTACGTTACCGATAGTATAAGACCTTTGTCTTCTATCGGGAACGCCTATCATAAGCTTTCTCTAACTCTTCTTCGTGAAGAACTTTCCTTGGCGTAATGATAATGTTGCAATAAAGATAAAGATTATAAAGGTGTTTTATATTTGTTAAAGTAATAAGTAGGAAAAGTACTTAGAACAAAGTGTGAAGAACCTATCCTCCTCGACCGTATTGACCTCCTTATATAGTGTTCTTCCTCCCCATAATCATGTGACCAAAAGTCGTCACATGTGCAAAACCAAATCATAACAAACTAATCATGTGACTAAAGTGGTCACATGCTTAAAACCTATGACCTCGTAGCGAGGTCATGTGCAAAAGCTCATAAACCAATCATAATACAATAAACAAGTTATATGACTCGACTGAGTCATATGCATGAAACCCATGATATCATAACAAGGTCATGTGCAAAACATAAATCATATGCACAAGGCATACCTGTAAGTCATACTCGTAAGGCATACTCACCAGGCGCACATCCCATAACTCATATTCGAGTCATGTGCGAAACATTACAAATCATAATATACTAAATCATATGACCCAAATCAGTCATATGTGCAAAACAATAACATACCTATGACTCATAATCATGAGTCATGTGAAAACCTTTTCTGTGCCAAGCCACGTTCCTGACAGTGTGATAGATCTACTTGTAGGAATATTAGAAGTACCGGGATCCGATACCTAGAAACTACTCTAAGTAGGGTAACCCTACTTGGAATCAGAAACTCTGGTCTCCAACACACTCCTCCGGCTTCCTTACAGGAGGTGCACATACCATCATACTGATCAATCTTAGTTGTCCTGTGACTATAATACTACAGAATTGAAGGTATCAGAATAATACCTTATAAATTGCTACCATCTGTCTGACTGGATACTGTTCACAGGATATATGGGAGGGGAAATTCGGCTAGGTTCGAGAAGTAGAATAGAATAAATCCGTCAACTACCCAGAGAGTTACTAGGCTTCAAAAGTGGAACAACCTTGGCATGAGCTGTAAGTAACAGGACATTTTGCACAAAGAGATGATATAGTGCAACCGGTACGGGTACTTGGTTATTGGTTTTGTTTTATGTTTTGTTTTAAGTATCGCTTTGATACTTGGTTAGTTTTAAGTATCGTTTGATACTTGGTTTTGTTTTATATTTTGTTTTAAGTATCGCTTTGATACTTGGTTAGTTTTAAGTATCGCTTTGATACTTGGTTTTGTTTTATGTTTTATTTTAAGTATCGCTTTGATACTTAAGGAGTTTTACCAAAGTGTATCGATTGATACCTTTGATTAGTTTCGTTCATGTTAAGACATGAACAGATTTGTGTATTTAAAGACCGCCTGTTTCTACGATAGAAAGGGCAGACTTCGACAGACAGTCTATCAATATACTTGGTTGAACGGTTACTTCTTTGTTCCTCAGTACACCCTCGAAGCCTCCTTTAGTTCTCAGCTCTCGCCTCCTCTCCAGAAGAGCAGGCCACCTGCCAACTATCGTACCTTTTACCGTTAACGTGATTAGCACCTTGCGAACACGTTACATATAGAGTATTAGAGGATATCTACAAAGAGCCAATACATTCTCATCGATCCTATGATAATTAGAAGAGCTTAGAACTCCTGGAAAGTACTACTGAAGAAGCCAATTGTAACAATTCTACTCCTTCTTATTTAGTTCTTCAACAGGTAACAATCTTACCTCTTCTGCTCTCTCGATATCTTGATAGCTCAGAGAACCCTTATCTTCATTATCACTTCTAATAACTATAATTGTCTTATACTTGCATTACCTCTTGTAGGTGAGACCTCTTTCTCATGTAGCATTATTGAAAGTATATATAAAGTATTGATTCAATTTATAGTATAGGAAAGAACTTAAGTGGTTGCGTGAGGAGTCTGTACCAGAGGTCCTTTTTTATTATTATTATTATTATTATTATCATGTATTTGTTATTAAAGTACAAGAACTCGCATGTAGCGCTAGCTATAATGTAAACAAA